ACAAGCAGGTTCTTGGTTGGTCAGTGGTTTCTCGGTCCCTGCCTTAGCAAGTTCCGCAGCAATCTCGTTTTCTTTGTTCCTGTTCGTACCAGTTGACCAAGTGAGTTTTACTCTGCTTGAGCTCCCAGCCAGGGTTGTAAGTTCTTTTACACAATCTAGCACACATTGTGACCTGCTGTGTACGATTCTAATGCTTTTATTGTGGCTTCATCTCCGGTTACGATGGTAATGTGCTTACGTGTGTAGGCTCTTTCCTTCATTTTCCGCGCGCAATTTGTTTTTCCGGTCGCAATTTGTTATGAGTAGCTTGCGATGTGTTCAAAATGAGATCCCATTTATTAGAGGAGTAGAAAACAACCGACCAGTACCTACTCCTTTTCCCAGGTAGGTACCCAGGATACCTCAAAATTAGTATATTTTCTTTTCTTTAGTAGAGTCTTATCAACACTGTTGTTAAGACCAACACACAAGACGTGTGTTGGTCTTATCCGATCCCGGCGAGAATGCAGTTGATTGGCAGAACGCCTCACTGGCAACTAGCTGAACTCCTAATACATGTTAAGTATGTGTGGACAGGTGGATATGCAATTTCTCTTCAAATGGTATTGCAGCTCTGTACTCGAACGCTTGAATACACCGGTATTATTGGTTGAGTTTTGGTCTGCTGAGGACGGAAATACCACAACACAATTTTAATGCTGTAGAACACAATTGCCAGTAGTGTGAACACAAAATTGCGCATGTAAACAAACTCGAGAGTTACCGCAATAAATTGCATAGGTGAAAAATTATTTAAAAATCTAAAAATTTTGATTCACTTGTAAAAAGAAAAATTGAATAGAATTTTTTTGGATAATTTTTAGGGATATTTTCCGGTCGCAGGAACTATCGTATGCGGCGGCACTCTGTTATGTGCAGGCCGTGCGCAGTCGTGCGGCTGCCATTACTAGGCTGCCGCCTCGAAAGATCAAAGTGGACCTGATTGGTCGGCAGCCGACAGAGAGTTGCCGAATGCGCCTGTTTTATCGTATGCGCGCACTCTGAGTTAGTGTGTGTTAAAGGGTGCCGCGTTAAGCGTAGTGAGCAGGCTGAGCACGTGTTCACGATATACTCAGTAACAGTTTGACCGTGTTTTGTGAGGGTTGAAAACACTATCACGTTTCGGCAACAGTGTATCTTTGACCGTTTGCGCGAATGACTCGTTCGTACGTGTCTTTGGTGTTCGCAGTGATCCAGTGTAGCGGCCTGTGATGCCGCTGTGTCGTGTTTTCAAGTGAACCATGCCACACGTCTCGTCTAGTGGTGGCGATGATCTCGGCAGCACCGATGAGGTTAAGGTGTATAAACATGAGGGTATCGACGAGGACGAAAAAAGGTCTGAGAACCTCACCGAGGAGAAGAGTAGCCTTATCGACCTCACCGAGTCGGAGGTAAGGTTTGTCCCGTCCAATTCCCTCCGCTGTTGAGTCCAGCGCGGCATTCGAAATCCAGTGACATCCAATTGCTTAGCAGCCGCTCCTAAAGCAGGGTCCACACTTGCTGTATAGCGCTCCTTTATCGCCAAGTTGCATAGCATAGAGATTTTATAATGAAATATAGCAAATTTTCCTGCTATATAACATGTTACATGCTATCCATTCTATGTCGGCAAAGATCAAAGAAAATCGTACAACAATGTTATTCTAACATGTAGCAACACGTCCAGACTGGCAATATGCGGTTTTTATTGTTAGTAAACGTATAGTAAGCATCAGTGGCAGTCGCGTAGTTTTCCGTATTTTCTGTATAAAATGGAGTTAGAAAATGATCAGTGGAATTAAAAAAGTATTTCAAAACTAATAGAATTATACAGAGAACGTGTAGACACTAGTAGTCCATTGTGCTAGGCTACGATTTAAAGCACCACTATCATCTCTTTTAAGATAATATATAATATTACTTCCACTAGATGTTTCTCGACATCAGGGTAGGACGAATCCAAAATCTTATTTTTCGTCCTCAAAAATAATAACGTACTCCCCTGCAGCTTTTTTACTCCACGAGTTAAAATCACTAACTCGAAGTGTGGACGAAACTCAGTTATTTGAACATCTAGCAAATAACATTGTTATATGACAATGTTATGCTACATGTTATCACATGTGGACCCTGCTTAATGAGCGATATTCCTTTGTTTTCGTTCGGTAAGAGTAGGCGACGGAAAGTCACAGTTGGTTAACCGTCGGATCCTCAGGTCTGTCATAGTTTCGCGTTGAGTTATGCCAAATTCCTTTCCATACAACTGATCTCTCTTTCTTAACTCTTCTTTCTAATCCGGTATAATCTTATATTTTCCTATTCTTACTTCTTTATCTACAACCCTTTTATTGTGATCATAATTTGACACTTCCAAATGTTAGTAAAAGCTACAGTGATTGACAATGACAGTCCATATCGCTTTCTAAAGCAATACAAAATTTGGTGCTTATGTACTTGTGTATGAAAAGGAACTAATTTTTTACAAAATTTGCCAAGAAAAACTTACAAACTTTTGAAAATCATGTTTAAACGACCTTGCCACCAATGAAAATGAGATTGGCCGGTGCTGTTTACTTTAAATCCAGTTTTAGGAACAATCTTATTATTCGACATACACAATTGTGCCCAAGATCCGAAAAGGTTTTTGTCTGGCAGCACTGCATAAATATGGAGATTTTTTTCGCTGAAACTTTATTGTAAGTGTACTATATGTATAAAGGACAATTAAAATGCAATCAAAATAGATTTTGTGATAACAGAGTGCGTATTTTATTCAAGGGTTAATGAAGTAATTTGTCTCTTGAATATTAAATATGGCCAAGCGCCAAGACAATTAAAGAATTATAAAAAATCGGCGAGACAAAGTAAGGACATGAGCACCCAAAATTTTATTAAGTATCTGTATTTTGTCAAGTCTGTAAATTTTTCAAGTAATTATTTTTACTGAAGTCATCATTAAAATAATAGACTGATTGTTATTAACGGACTTATGTGGTTACTCTATTCGGTTTACTCCCGCGCGTGCAAGTTTTTTCGTGCGTGCGTTAATAATATCCAACTACGTAAATTTAGTACTTAATTATTGAACAAAGAAATACATGTTTACTAACCTCAGAACATCGTTTATATGTCTGAGACAGCAACATCTTATAGAGGTAGGCAAAGCTACCTATACATAGTCCAGCATATACATAATCAAAACAATAACACTTAACTCAAAAACAGTAATTAAACCAGTAATCAAACTTCCCAAAACTCAATAGCTGGCATACAATATAATGTGTAAAATATACTTTTTTTTACAATATATTTGTGCTAATCCATTTTTTAATATTTTTCTTGTTATAATTTTTGGTGATATCTAGAATATTCAGAATAGGATTATGTCTTTGGAAGACAATTGTAAATTTGTATTGCTCGAATGTTTTTAACACTCACTGCTTTCGTACACTTTGGTGGAATTATAAGTTTGTTTCTAGTTACACTACTAGATGTTACATATGTTCAAATCACACATTCATACGCAAAAATCTGTTTTAAGTTTAATATTATCTTGATTGAATTATTTTAGTTGACAATTCTTAAGATTCTAATCTATGTCTTGACGTTGACATAAATGACTATTATTTTATTTATTATATTGTATATTTCTATTTATACTACAGGGCATTACACAACACTTGTTTGATTGATTAAAGTAGTATATGTTTCTAGCTCGCAGTACAATAATGTGGGGATTATAAAATGAAGTTGAACATCCGACTATTTTTCCAATCAGAACCACTGGGTGGAATGGCAATTTAACATCAGCCGAAGTCTGATTTCTGATCAACTTCATTCAACTGAATCAAGCAATATTTGTACTGCCCTTATTCAACCGATGTCCAAAATCTGAATTCACATTGTGAAAGTACCTAAGTCATGATAAAAGCGTATTTTGCTAAATCCACATTATTGTGTATTGTGTATGTGTTTGTGTCTGATATCATATATTTTTTTATTAACATGCATATATTAAAAAAGCTGGTAACTTTAGTGAAAAGTCATGTTATCAACTACTCATTTTGCATAGGATGCAAAAGATTTTATGCCGACGATTGACTCGAAAAACCGAGAGCAAAGACAAGTATATTGATTTATCGAAAAGGAATAGTTATTGTAATTAGGTAGATATACACAAATATATATGTATTCCAAACTTATGCAGTGTCTGTTTTTACAGCTCAACCATGGGCATCTATATACTGGATTGGTTAAATTGGGGCAAAGTTGCGCAGTCTAGAGCTTACTACAATACTCATTGAAATTGAGCAGGCGACTGCTGTTTTCATATTGCACAACTATTTTTATAAATGAGAATCTGCCCACCATTTCTTAAAGCCAAACAAAACGCATTCGGACAGGCTCTGTGAATAATAATATAAAAAAGAAGATACGCTTTGACTTGTAATGTATGTCATTTAGTTTTTGTAAAAAAATATAGTTTATTTTACGTAAACATGAACATTTTTGTGGTATTGTGTCCTGTTTTCTTTCGTTATGGAAGAAAAAACCGACATATTTAAATGCTGGGAAAATAAAATGAAGTCAACTTTGCCGGTCGTATTAGTAAGTATAGTCACAATTTAACAGAACACTCTATTGATCGATGAATTTTACTCTTCCTGATTCTGGTCTATTTGGTAAAAACGACCGAAATTGTAGATGTAGATGTAAAAAATCTAAGTACCTAAGTAGATAATTGTTGGTTCTGATGCCCACCACATATTAATTAAATGGCATGAAAAGCGTCATTAAATGAATTAATTATACAGTAATTCAAAATAAGTTTTACCTTGTTTTTCAATAACTATTCAACTAAATAACTAAAAATGTGCAAAATCCTATCAATCGAAGATACCTTACCTGGAACAAATTCCTTATCTTGCCCTATTTTAGTATACTTTACAATTTTATTAACATTGTAAAAGCCCTATTCCGTTATGATTCACAGTTAATCGACTTATTGCTTTTCTGTAGACGTGAATTTTGACGATCCGTTAAAACTTTAGCGAGTCCGTTAAAGTTTCTCAATAAGAGTAGGGGCAACATCGGAATCTACTCCAAATTTCTAATCTTGTGCCTAAAATAAACCCTCGTGCTGAAACAAGAGTTGTACTGCATCAAGTATTTATTTGTTTAGTTTGCTGTTCAATTCTTAATTGTACGTTTGTTTCGAATTCAGTTTTTCGGTCAGAAACCCATTTTCGACCTTATTTTTTGCCCAAAAAACCTTCAAAATTCAATCGATTTTTGTTCAATAAATGCACGTAAGTACCTACATTGCGATTCTACTTCATGCATGCATCGACTTATGCTCGGTCGACTGATAGTTATTGTATAACCTTGCGACGTAGTTAATTAGTATCTTCCAGTGATATAAAAATGTACTGTAGCTGATATTTTTATTTAGGTAGTTATTTTGGGCACCCGAAAAGAGCAAATAACACGCAAATAGAAAATGTATCGATAAACCGAAATGATAACTTGGGAAAATTCATAGAAACTGTCAACACGTCTACAAATCAAATCAATAATTTTAATATTCTTCCATATTTCGGCGAATTGTAATAATTTGATGAAAAACATCTACACTAATAACACCAAATTTCCGACTCGCTTGGTGCACTAGTAATAGACAAAAACGGCAATTATTCGTCACTGCCAAACGTCTTGAGCTTCTACCCATCTTGCTTTATATGAAGATTTTTCACCGAAACAAAACCAAAAAATATGTCTCAAAATGCGAACACATGCTGGCATTTTCATAGAAATTATTAAGCTGGGAAAAGAGTAGATAACAAAACCTTTAATAACGTAACTAGCCAGTAGCCGATAACCAGTTCTTTTGAGTGTCATTAAATGGCGATGTATCCCTAATGAAATGAAATTGTTGCAGGAAAAGTCTGGATCCTTCAACTCAACAAATAAAAATGCTCAACGACCCGACCACAGTCCCGTGTTTGGTAAGTAATTTGAATCTAAATCATTTTTATGGCTGTCTTATTTAAATTCCATTTTTGTTGGTAGTAGTGGAGACGTCGTGTATACGATATGATGTTTCATATGAACCATTTGTTATCATTTAAATGATCTAAACCGGGGAAACGTAATATTCAAGAGAACAGAGACTACAAATAGTCGAGATGAGTATCGTAACAGACATTTTTTTGCTTTTATTGTATCCTTCTGCAATGGACTGCTTTTTAGTATCATTTCCTTGATGTAGATTTTGGTAAAATCGGGCTTTAAATAATTGCGAGCTAAGATTTATCTCCTGTTACTCCTCAAGTCGTCTCGTGTCGATTCCCATGCTCAAACTTAGATTAGTTTTCTCTTTCAACCCAAATTATCTTGGATAATACCGTGCTGCTTGCTAATTAACCCGTCACTGGGAGGGATGCCAGTGTTTTGTTTCTGCACCTGATTGTTGTAAATTAGGAAGTTCTCTAGGTATACGTTTCTTGAGATTCTGCCACCGACATTTTAAAGTACAAACAAAGCTTTGACTTTTTAATGAAATTTCCTCCATATTCATAAAAAGCGTGCGCCACCCTTCTGATGTTTCTAGTTTTCTTTACGGTATTTGCTTTAAACATACACCCAATTTTCGACTACAAACGATATGAAACACACCGACTTGTCACTAGGTCCCATATCTTCATAATAACTGCAACCAGTAAATCTTATCGAAAAACATCTGGTCCCTATTTGTAAATATGGCGAGCTATTACCAGGGCCATAACGGATAACTCCGACTTCACGTACTTGTGTTAGAATTTGTCTTCTTTGCAAACATGTGCTAGCTCGGCTTAATGGATATCATTTGCTAAAAATCAGGGTAAAATGGTTGAAAAGTAATCGGAGGAAACGCAGAAGCAAAACATGCGTCTCCAGCGATGTTGCGTAAATGTAGAAGATCGAAAATTCAGAGAAACTTTTATAGCAAAGCTAAAATTAAATTTATCGGTGGTTATACGAGCAAAACTTCAAAATTACTGGGAATTTTGATGGTTTATTCTAATAGTTCGAAGAACTAATTCTTCAGTTTCACTGATTGATTGGGGCGCGATTTCATAATTCATTGTTAAATAAAATAAAAAGAAGTAATGTTAGTTTGTCTCTATATGGTTCACGATGAATTGGAGCTTTTTATAACATTCATAACGGAGTACTACCTAAACTTCTAGGCCTACAGAATAAGCTGAAAAATTGGCGTCATACTTAAAAAAATGCTTTTTTCAAGTGCTGTAGTTCTGCGGTTAGATGTGGTCCACATATTTTTCTGGCTCTTTCCGTAAAAGTCTTACTGATTCATTGCTTCTGACTGGGGTGGTGGGTGGCCTTTCGATATACCCTGTGATCCAAACGATTCACGATCGATGCATTTTTCGCTGTTTTATCTCAATTTTCTTTAGAAATAGGCGACACAAAAAAACCAATGCAAAGCAGTTGCATTAGCTGCTGGAGTAACTATGCATAATTCACAACCAGAATGTGTGAAGCTAAATTAAATAAAAATGTCCTGAATGCCTGATTGCACATGTTGGCATTGAATACTTATGGTTTGCAACGTTAACAAGTGCGGTGATAAGTCATACGGAGCACATTAAAATCTGCACAGCAAAGATGTTTGTTTGCTGGCTGACAAATCTAAATGACCCCGGTTGTTCGAATTACATTCTTAAAATACATCATGCTTAGATATTGTCAATCATTAATTACACCAATCGCAATGTGCATGCACTGTTGAAGATAAGACGGTTTTTTTCTCCAGATCTGTTTCTACGTGAAACGGACGTTTGTGATAAAATACTTATTGGTTGGTTAATTTAATAATTGGTGTATTTAACACAATCATATCTCGTACTCTGTATGCGAGCATGTTATAGATAAAAATTGCCTTTCTGGTGAAAAGTTGCCGTTTATTACTTGTAAAATGTGCCCCATTCATATGATGATGTGTGCGCCAATTAATTTTTCAGTGCGAAACATGTACGTATTTTCAATGGAAATTCCGGCTCACAACACTGTTTACTTGCATTGTACTTAGAAAACCGCCGGCAAATATACGCAATCGAAATTAGAATAGTTGCCAACCTGTTTAAATGGAAAGCGAATATGAATCGCTAAAAATCAATTGCCAAAATGCAAAAAAATGACTGGCCACGTTGCACAAGTTAGATAATTTAAAAAAAATGGTCAAATGGCATTTTTCAATTTTCTGCTGGTTTCGTTTAGAAAGTATTCTAGCGCTTTCGTCGGCAGTCCATATTATGCGGTTCTAATGACTAAAAAGGCCAGCCAACAATAATTGGATCCTTTTACTAAGCATTTCGCGTAATAACCTAAAGCCCTCACAATATAGAAGCAATTTTAAACTTGTTACCATGTCGAAAATGACTACTTTAAAACTCCAAACGCGGTTTTAATGCACTCTCTATAGTTTATTTCCTTTCTTTCCTTCATTTTCTTGGCTGCTTTATGTGTAGTACGTTGTTTGCCGGCGCAGATGGGCGCTGAATGCTCGATTTGTTGATGATTCAAAGCCAGCTACGGACTAAATGCGCACTTACCTATTTAAAACACGTTCAAGCACGTCGGCTTTTGCATATTTCGAGAGGCAAAAACACGAAATTCTACTCGCATATTCAACTTGGAACGAATAATTCGTAGTTTAATCGCTTTTTTAGTTAGTTTTTACAGGTTTATAGCGCAGCACCCAATATCTATATAAATGGCAACTTACTCACTAGAATCCGGTTGCAATGACTTAATCAATTACTGAGTACCTGTATTGGATGAACCATAAGCTTACCGTAAGTTTTTATAATTTTCAGGAAAAGTCGAACCACCCGCATCGTACATGGGGTACCTCGTATCACCGTACCCATACGCTAATGGAACGCCTGGATCCATCCCTGTATCAATGGTAAGTCCTGAAGAAACATCTAAATTTTGCTAAAATCAAATTGAATGCCCGTAATAAAAAAATAACTTACTTAAGTTAACCTATTTGGCTTTGGCGTAAGGTCAAATGACCTCAGGTTCAACATTGCCAGGGTTTAAAACCCTTGATTTCTAAAGATGACCATGTAGAAATAACTCACCCAAAACGGCCATAAATAACTTAGCCAGAAACCGTTAAATATGGGAATAAAACCTTTAAGAGGAACTTGAAAGAATCGTGGGTGTTTCGGGTAACGAGTCTCGTTTATCTTGTGATTGCTTCAAATTATATTTTAATTAAAACGTTAATAATGTCTGCCCCAATTTTTTTATTTTTTCTTTGAAAGGTATTGTAAAACACGTAACATAAGAATTCTTTCAAGCGGACGACACATGGTTGTTAAAGCACGATGTTTTCGAACTTTGCTCTATTCCACACATAAGTGATATTAAAAAAGTGGACAGGTGCACTGTTAGTGGCGTGTTTATCTCAATAATTGGTTTATCCAC